TCTATAAAAGAAATTTTGCTAGAAACTGATTAATAAAATTCTAGGTGATATTTTTATCTATAAAAGAAATTTTGCTAGAAATTGATTAATTAAAATCATAAGTCATATTTTACTTTACCTTTGCGTTCGAAACATTCCCCGAAATTGTAGTGGTAATTCTTGGGACAAGCGCAAGTGGAATTCAAGCCTGTACGAGATAAACAAAGCGCGTTTGGTATCCTGCTAGAACATTGAATGTTCTCTTCGCAAGGTTCTCCATACGCTGAAACTAAAGAATTAAAAATTATTTGAAAAATTTTTCATTGCTTACACAAGCTGTTGGTACATATGCATTCGTTGAAAATTCAAAGATTTAGCAAAAATTTTACCTCGCACGCATGAACCGGCTGACGAAGCAACGTGGTCAGGTTTGCAAGCGCAACGCTCTGATTCGCACACCGAATTGTTCGCTTTGCACTCGTCGTTGAAACTGCAAGTGGAATTGATGCCTGCGAGAGAGAAATAATTTCAAGTAAAGTCTCTTCTTTGGGTGCAGTCGAGAATTGCAATCACCTTTTACACACTGCTTGTCCAACTCGTAATAATTATCAACGCAAACGCAAATCTTGTTCGCGCATTTTGCATTCATCGTGTACTTGCAGTCCTCGTTCACGCCACACGTGTCTCCGATACCTGAAATTAAATCGTCTTTAGTGCCATATCGAATTGATATATTTCTGCCATTTTGCGACAATTTTCGTGTCGCGACTGAAACGAAATTTATTTAAAATTAAGATTGCTAAAATTAATATTAGAATTAATATTAAGATTAATATTGTTAAAATTAATATTAAAATTAATATTCTGAAAATTAATATTAAAATTAATATTCTTAAAATTAATATTAAAGTTAATATTCTTAAAGTTAATATTAAAATTAATATTAAAATTAATATTAAAATTAATATTCTTAAAGTTAATATTAAAATTAATATTACAATTAATATTCTTAAAATTAATATTAAAATTAATATTCTGAAAATTAATATTAAAATTAATATTCTTAAAATTAATATTAAAGTTAATATTCTCAAAGTTAATATTAAACTTAATATTAAAATTAATATCAAAACTAATATTAATATTAAAACTAATATTAAAACTAATATTAAAATTAAAATTAATATTAATATTAATATTAAAATTAATATTCTTAAAGTTAATATTAAAATCAATATTAAAATTAATATTCTTAAAATTAATATTAAAATTAATATTACAATTAATATTCTTAAAATTAGTATTAAAATTAATATTCTGAAAATTAATATTAAAATTAATATTAAAATTAGTGTTAAAATTAAAGATTCTTACAAGCCATCGTAGTTACGTATCTGTAAGTAAGAGTGCATCTTACCAGCGTGCTCCTTCACGCAAGCTGTGCTATCGTTGGTTGGATAAGTTCCACCCGGGCAGGAGCACAACTTGTTTGAGTCGCAGATCAACCGAACATCAACATAACCGTCGAGATAACAGTCTACGTCTTGGTGACACTTCTCACCTATCCCACGTTTCATCCAACAGAACGACTCGGTCTTGTTCAACCGAGATTTCTCGTTGCAGACGCACTTGCCATTTTTGCAAATGGCGTCCGGACCAAAAACGTAACACTGCACGTCGTTTCGGCAATTATCGTTATATCGTGCAGTCACTGAGCAAACAGAAAACATGTGAGGATAATCTTCTCTCTAAACTCTAAACCAGTCGATCGTTTACCTTTCTCGCACTCTCTATTGTTCTTGGAAGCAACTGTCTCCGCGATGCAATGCCATGTTCCATTTCGACACACCGAGTTGTCGATGACAGTTTCGTTTTTCGTAGGGTCGCATCGTTCTCCAAGCTCTGCGAGAAGAAATCGAGAAATGTGTTGAGAAATATCGATTGATTCTCTCGTAAATCTTAATCCATATATTATTATTAGATAAGGTGTTAATATACTATTATTATTATCTTATTGTAATACTATAATAAATGTAATATAATATAACAAATAGTATTATATACTAATTATTTACTATTTATTATATTTATTATAATATACTGTTTTAATTATACTTACAATACACTATAATATTGTTTTACAGTATATACTATACTACACTATACTGTTTATACTATACTATACTATACTGTACTGTTTATACTATACTATACTATACTGTACTGTTTATACTATACTATACTGTACTGTTTATACTGTACTCTACTGCACTGTTTATACTGTACTATACTGTACTGTTTATACTGTACTATACTGTACTGTTTATACCATACTATACTGTACTGTTTATACTATACTATACTGTACTGTTTATACTGTACTGTACTGCACTGTTTATACTGTACTGTTTATACTGTACTATACTGTACTGTTTATACTATACTATACTGTACTGTTTATACTGTACTGTTTATACTATACTATACTGTACTGTTTATACTATACTATACTGTACTGTACTGCACTGTTTATACTGTACTGTTTATACTGTACTATACTGTACTGTTTATACTATACTATACTGTACTGTTTATACTGTACTGTTTATACTATACTATACTGTACTGTTTATACTATACTATACTGTACTGTACTGCACTGTTTATACTGTACTATACTGTACTGTTTATACTGTTATAGTACAGTTACTATACTGTACTGTTTATACTATACTATACTGCACTTTACAATACAGTCTGTATACAATATACACTATAATTATATACTGGTTTAATTATACTTAGTATACTTACTATATACTAATTATATACACTAATACATTATATACTGTAATTATATACTGTTTTAATTATACTTACTATATACTAATTTATTATATACTGTTTTAATTATACTTACTATATACTAATTACATACTAATTATATTATATACTAATACCACAATTAGTATACTTACTATATACTAATTATATACACTAATATATTATACACTGTTTTAATTATACTTACTACACACCACACACTACATATTACTAATTATACACACCGATATACTATATACTATAATTATATATACCAATATACTATAACCATGTACTGTTTCAATTATAGTTGGTACATCAACGAACAGTTAATAACATTACCTGGTACACACCGGCGTTTATCCTCGTGAAAGAAGTGCGCGCGTTTGCACACGCAGGTGTTCAAAGGTCCGCATTCCGCATCCGGAAAATGGCAATCCTCGTTTCTCGTGCAATTAGCTCCGACGCCACTTGCTACGGGATGTGCGCGCGTTGAAGTTCGCGTGTTTCTCGACACACCGTAATAGAAAAAATGTATTTACAAACCTTGCCCGGTTGCATCATGTTCTCGTAAGAGAGTGTTATCGTTGCGCAAGAATTTTGACGCAGTGTTATTTCCCCGCGCTACGCACTTGTGCTCGACGAAGTCGCAAGTCGCGTTCGGCCCCTTGCAATCGTTGTTTATGATACACTTCCCGTCGTTCTCTGCGCAACGCAATCACACGTCGGGATCGACGATACAAATCACACGTTCGCAATAAAGGGGACAAAATTTCTTTAACACGTTAAGCGCGGAGCTGACTTTTGCTGCGTCGATCACTCGATCATACGAGCTGTTGGATTATGGTGGTACAGACTAGATATCGCTAGATGACGACATTGTTTCACTTTTTGTTTAGAAAATGCAAAAGTGTATTACAGACAGTGGTTACAAATTATAAACTAGACATGATATTATAATAGTTCATATTAGGAGGCTGTCCTTCGAAAGACAATCAAAGATATAAAGACACGAGATATTACTTTTTGTAGTATGTGCAGAGCCAAACCTTATTTTTGTTATTTTCAGAATAAATTTCAATAAATTTCAAGAAAATTACGAAATTACAAAAAAAAAAAAAAAAGAAAGAAAATTATTTTCATTTGATGGAATGACGCCGCGCTTAACGCGTTAATGACGGTCAATTGCTTTGGAAATTGTCTAACCTTCGGCAATCGGACGACAACTTCTGTACTCCCTCTTGTAGTATTTAGGAGCGCAGTTGCAGATTTTCTCTTTGTTGCATTTGGTCGCTTGAAAGTCGCCGGGCACGTAGCAGTCCTCGTCGTCCTCGCATTTCCCCGACAATTCTGCGACAGATTATTCTCATTCGTTCGCGAGAGCAGTACGCTCGATTCATTTGAGTCAAACGTTCTTGAGATATACACACCTGAGTACCTGTGACACTGTCCGTGGATGTAATAATATCCATCGGCGCACACGCACGCTCCATTCACGCACGTCCCACCTCTGGATAAATACGCGGAACACTGTCTCGATTCTTGGCAATCGTCGCCGTACTTCTGGGCCACTGAGAAATTTGAAAACTCCAAACGTAAATTCAGTAAAGGATGGTCCGGTTTGAAAATTTCGTTTCGAAAATTTCTCGTCGAAAAAATCCAATTTCTTTACTTACTGTCCGAAAGTTATTTCGCGCGTTGTTTCTTGTTATTAAATATGCGGGACAGTTGCTTGTAAATAAGTTTCTTTTGTAAAAAAAATTTCAGGGTAAATAAATGGGAATTTCGAAACAGAAAAATCGATACGCCATATTTTACATCTCTTAAAAACATACAACTTTTGTCTCAAACAACTTTTTATCGGGCGCATCGTTTAGAAGTTACTTAGCAAGCGTGCAAGTTATGTGAATCACCCTGTATAATGAATTAAATAAATGGAAAAATATTCCATTATACATCAGGTGTCCTTAAATTCGATTTAAGATCAATGTGGTTTGATACTTTTTTTTTACTTGGAATTTAATGTTCTTTCGACTTACGATGAAAAAAATAAATTGACTAGAAAAAAATAAAGATGAAAATTTCGAAACTTACAAAAAATTGACACATTGTTATGTTGTATTTTGTCCATACAATTGTTTTGTTTGTTTTATCAAACAACTTTTCATCAGACGCATCGTTTAAAAGTTCAAATTTCAAGTGTATGCAAGCTACGCGAATCACCCTAGAATTACCGATTTGGTCAGAATGACTAATAAATTTTTTTTTAGATATTATATTATAGATGCAAAACAGTGTTTGCAACAATTTTTAGAAATTTAAATGATTTTTTTTCTTTTATGAAATAATACGAATAAAAATCTCCGATGAAAATTCAATGCTTTTAATTTTTGGTAGTTCCAGTGTTAAACGTAACGCAGCCTGATTATTTCATCGAAATTCCCTTTAATATGCACGCACATGTGTACAGTACAATATCTCGGAATTTCGATTGCCAACAGACAGTCCCCCCGACAGAGTGCAACAATTCGCTTAACAACAATAAACGTTTGATTGTAAGTAAACATTTGGCAATTTACCTTTAATACACGCTGTGAAACTTCCATCGAGGACGTAGCCGGGGGCGCATCGACAGGTGCCATTGACGCAACTGGTGAGCTTCACAGCACAATCGGAAGTGGCATTGCATTTCCAATCGAGAACGTTATTTAACGATGCTTCGTCGCCGATCGAACGTAGTTCTTCCGCTCTGGTGTTTCGCGTCAAATCTAAAAAAAAAAAGAAAAAAAAAAGAAAAATGGTAAAATTTTAATTGCAATCGTCGAAGGTTAACGTAACGAAGAGGAATTTCATTTCCCGGAATTTTAGATATATTTCAATCGTCGGTAAATAGACGAAATAGTTGATTAATATAATAAATAATATAATATTAATATAATAAATAATGTAATATAATATTAATATAATAAATAACGTAATATAACGTTAATATAATAAATAATGTAATATAACGTTAATATAATGAATAATGTAATATAACATTAATATAATAAATAATGTAATACAGCATTAATATAATAAATAATGTAATGTAATATTAATATAATAAATAATATAATATTAATATAATAAATAATGTAATATAACGTTAATATAATGAATAATGTAATACAACGTTAATATAATGAATAATATAATATAACATTAATATAATAAATAATGCAATACAATATTAAAATAATAAATAATGTAATACAACATTAATATAATAAATAATGTAATATAACATTAATATAATAAATAATGTAATGTAATATTAATATAATAAATAATATAATATAAGATTAATATAATAAATAATATAATATAACATTAATATAATAAATAATGTAGTATAATATTAATATAATAAATATTATAATATAATATTAATATAATAAATAATATAATATAATAGTAACATAATAAATAATTTATTGATCGAATCAACAATCAATCACACGCGTCACGTTTACATTAATTTTATGCTGACGCAGCTTTGCTGAGAGAGTAATGTTTATTCTCCAATAAAAACGCAAATCCTTACCATTATGCGTGATGCAGAGTAACAAAACCACGACACTCGAAACAGGCAGCATGTTTGACATACTCGTTTCTGACTGAAAGGTACAAATTCCTCCGATTGTTCCCGTCTTTTATCAGAGTGATCATATCTGATAGAAAATGAACACCTGCGTTGCTATCAAAAGAAGTCAATTGGATCGCCACGGGGAGCAATTTTTTTTTTTTTCGACAGTCATCTGGTCGTAACGTTCGTTTAGCTCACGGAACAAAAGGAAACATTGACGTATACTTTCTCAGTTTTATTAACCGCGATAGTCACGCTTTACTTTCGTTCTTTTTTTAAGAGTGTCGAACATGCTTGAATTCCGTCGGAAAGAATCATGTTATTTATAGTCAAGAATCTATTCCGAGCGTAATTTTAGAAATTGCGACTGTTAAATTTAAACTACAGTGCAGTATACGAGAAAGATTTGTGTATGAATGTGTTTATAAAAAAAATGTTATCGCTAAAGTCGTATCTTCGTTTCGTCTAATCTTTGTATATCTGCCTCTCTCTCTCTCTCTCTCTCTCTCTCTCGTTCTAATTTATAATTATTGAATTAAATTGTGATAATATATTATATATTATTCGATAATATATAATTGAATTAAATTGTGATAATATATTATATATATAGTTATAATAATATTATATATATAATCTAATTTATAATTATTATAACTATATTATGATAATATATTACATATATAATCTAATTTATAATTATTATAATTATATTATAATAATATATTACATATATAATCTAATTTATAATTACTATATAATAAAATATTACAAACATAATCTAATTTATAATTATTATAATTATATAATATATATATAATCTAATTTATAATTGTTATAATTATATTACAATAATATATTATATATATAATCTAATTTATAATTATTATAATTATATTACAATAATATATTATATATTGAATTAAATATCATTTAATAATTTAATGATTTTTGTAATATACTATATATATTAATATAACAATGTTGCAATATATGTAAATACGCATGTAACGAGTAAAGAAGTACCATTGCCAAGAAACATTGGCAATTAAAAGTTAATAATAATTCTTCCGGAGCGCACGTATTACGTAACAATCGCGGAAAATTTATTTCACACGCTTCACAGAAACGACACGTTACGTAATTCGTAATCTTTCTTCTGTCGCGTACAGGTCGTAGGATCGCTCAAAAATTTCAAACGCACGTTCTGCGAAACGTAAATGCGTATTGTTGGAATTTAGAGGATGCGTATGCCCACGCGTACGTGCGTGTGTGTGTTGGCAGAACAATTGACCGAACGAAGGCAGATTTCCTCAATGACGATAAGTATAAAATCGTAAACGACCCGTGGAAGATTACATCTTGACCCGTTCGGCGTGTCTTTTCGCCGAAGTACATATGTGGCGGGAAAATATGTTTTTATCATTCCGCCGGTGACCTTTTACTTCTTTTTTGCGCTAAACTCTGCGTCAGGTCGAGGTTAATTTGTACTTTTGCGCTTAACATTCGACGTTCGTTCTTGCCCGAACGGTTAGTTTACAGCTGATCGTTCATCATGAAGCAGCTCGGCAGCATCTGCAAGGGTGAGTTCAGCCTCCCGACGGCATATTTCACTTTCTTCGTCGCTCGCGCGTATACGTGCAACGTGGCGAGTTCCTCGACTTCCTCGTTTCCTGTTTCTCCTTTCATTTCTCAATTCTTTAGTTCCGTGATTCTTATTCTGTAATTATTACAATATACCAACAATAATATAATATAATATACCATTCTGTAATTATTATAATATACCAATAATAATATAATATACCACTCAGTAATTATTACAATATACCAATAATAATATAATATACCACTCAGTAATTATTATAATATACCAATAATAATACAATATACCACTCAGTAATTATTATAAAATACCAATAATAATATAATATACCATTCTGTAATTATTATAATATACCAATAATAATACAATATACCACTCAGTAATTATTATAAAATACCAATAATAATATAATATATCATTCTGTAATTATTATAATATACCAATAATAATATAATATACCATTCTGTAATTATTATAATATACCAATAATAATACAATATACCATTCTGTAATTATTATAATATACCAATAATAATAGTTATTAATATATTATATTCTTTTTACATTAGCATTATATTAGTGTAGTATATTCTCATTCTATAATTATTACAATATATCCTAATTCTTATTACATAATAATTATTAGTATATTATATTCTTAGTGTTCTAGTATATTATATTATATTTTTATTATATTAATAAATTATATTCTCATTCTATAATTATTACAATATCCTAATTCTTATTACATAATAATTACTACTATATTATATTCTTAGTATTCTAGCATATTATATTATACTTTTATTATATTAATAAATTATATTCTTATTCTATAATTATTACAATATATCCTAATTCTTATTACATAATAATTATTACTATATTATATTCTTAGTATTTTAGTATATTATATTATACTTTTATTATATTAATATATTATATTCTCATTCTATAATTATTATAATATATCCTAATTCTTATTACATAATAATTATTAGTATAATTATATTCTTTGTATTCTAGTAAATTAATTATATTCTTAGTATTCTAGTATATTATATTATATTTTTATTATATTAGTATATTATATTCTCATTCTATAATTATTATAATACACTAATCTTAATTCTTATTACATTATAATTATTAGTATATTAACTATTTTTTATTTTTATTATATTAGTATTATATTAATATAGTATATTCTTATTATATTATTATATTATATTTAGTATATTACATTCTCATTCTATAATTATTATAATATACCAATCCTAATTCTTATTACATAATAATTCTTTGTCTCGTGATCTTCCAAAAAAGATATGTTTTTCACTCTATTATAATTATTATAATACTGTCCTAATTTTTATTACATGGTAATTCTTCAACTTTTGATTTTTAAGAAAAGACCTCTCCTCTTGAGAAACGAAAATTTTTCACTTAGGAAAACTAATCGATTAATTAAAATTACTGACTAAAAATTACTAACTTAATGTTAACGTTAAGTGCTGTGCCACTGGTGAATCAAATTTAGTGAAACAAATTTAATACATAAAATTGAATAACTTTGAGATTACGAAAAAGAATATCGCCTATAAACAAACAGTGCACAGTATAATAATGCAATAGTAATTTTAATGGGTTTTGTTGAAACAGTTTAGACAGAAATGTGAAATTTCTCTTTGCACCATGTTAGTTTCGTTTCTCTTTCTGCTAATATCTCCTTCCAGCAGTGTTGTGTTCCTTTCGCAACAATTTTTACAACATTTTACAGAGCAAATGTAAACAGAACGCGCATGGCACCTAATGTGTCGACTAAAATTACCGTCTAATTTCTGAAATTAGTGTAAAAATGATCGTTCATTGTCGTTTCAAAATACTCGTAGCTACAACTTGACGTTTTCTTCTCTTCCTTTCTATATCGCCGATCGCAGAGAAGTTCACAAGTTTGGAGGAAGGTCTGGTCCCCGAGGCGAGGATCTTCACGCAGGGCGCGAGGTCCGCGAGTAAGAACAAAGCTTGCAAACAGGTTGCACAATGCGTGAAAGTAATCCTGTATTTGCTGTTCGTGGGATTGGCTGTTTACTTGATGTGGCAGACGTTCAGCATCAATATGATGGAGTTCAAGGTGATAAACAGCATCCGAGAGTCGCAGTCGGAGGGTTTGTCCGGTCAGCGTTCGACGTTCGACAAAAGTGCGACAAACACGGTGGAAGAGTTTCACCGTTTCAACGATATCTCGACGACGGAGGCTTCGGATCTCGATAGAAAAACGTCTTTCACCAACGAAACTGACGACGACGAGTCGCTCAAAACTGACGTTGTCACCGAAAGCGATGATATCTACGAAACTCACAACGAGGGAGTTGTTGGCACAACTGCAAGCACCGACGAGGCCGAGGAAATCACTTTCACGAGAATAGCAACCACCGAATCTCCGGTCGAGTCGAATTCCTCGCTTGCGCAACAGATGAACGAAAGGTTTTATGATAATTACGACGAGGACAACTATCTCGTGAACGACGAGATGAAATTGGAACGCGTCCAGGAAGAAATTTTGGATAACTACGCTCTTCTCTCGTTGATCATACAAAACGCCGTGAGAACGTCGCAGATCATCGATTCCTTTGTTGAATACGACAACAGCGACAATTGGGGGGATTCTGCGGCGCTGAGTCCGCAAAATGGCAATGGCGTTGAGGAGGAAAATAGCCAGGGGACTCAGGAGACTGAGGAAACGTTGAAATTATTTATAAACGAAGGTGATTACGAGGAGGAGAATCCCGAAAATTTCGACTATCAAATTGAAACAGTTACGGAGAGTACAGCGAAAGATTACTATGGGCAATTTTATAGGTAATATAAAATTTATAGATATATATAAAATTAGTTATATATAAAATATAGGTATATATAAAATTAGGTGATTTTAAAATTAGGATATTTAAAATTAGGTGTATATAAATATAGGTATATATAAAATTAGATATACATAAAATTAGGTATATATAAAATTAGGTATTTATAAAATTAGGTATACATAAAACTAGGTATATATAAAATCAGGCATATATAAAATTAGGAATATATAAAACTAGGTATATATAAAACTAGATATATATAAAATTAGGCATATATAAAATTAGGTATATGTAAAATTTGGTGTATATAAAATTAGGTGTACATAAAATTAGGTATATATAAAATTAGGTATATATAAAATTAGGTATTTATAAAATTCGGTATACATAAAACTAGGTATATATGAAACTAGGTATATATAAAATTAAGTGTATATAAAATATAGGTGTATATAAAATTAGGTCTATATAAAATATTAGTATATATAAAATATAGGTATATTTAAAATTTTCATAAAAATATCAACGTGTCAACTTTGTCTATTTTCTGAAATTTGACAATGACAGCTGTAGCGTTGAGAAACAGTGTTTGTCAGTGATCCTGTTTTTATTTCTCCTTTCGACTCTTTTCTTACCCAAATGATTTCTTCTATCGTTGCAGACGACTCTACGGTCCGTGGAGGATATACGTATAGGACTCCCATGTCTAAACTTTCAGGACAACGTTGCAAGTAAGCTGAGAAAACTAGTGGTTACTACGTCGAATTCGACGCGTTTTAACACCTAATTCATTTTAGGAACGTCCAATTTGAAACGTTTAATTTATTTTAGGGACATCGTTGAACAGTTTGAAGGCGACGTGACGAGGGCTTAGGTCGTTCACGATGGAGAAACTTCCGTAACAATTGAACCAACGACGAAACGACAAAGATGAGAAACTTTGTTCGAAGATCAAACGCGAACAGTTTCTTCGATTATCTTTCCGAAGAATTGGTACTTTTCTTTTTTTTTTTTTTTTGTCAAATGAACCTTTCTTCTCATCGTGTGGCTCGCTAAGAATTTTAAAAGTACATCGTCAATTCGAGAAAAACTTGATCGATATGTTTTCACGTGTCTTATTATTGATCTTGTAGTTTAGATAACTTATTACGTATATATTTCATTGAATAAGTTAAAAGTGAAAAGCTTTTGATTATTCCCCGCACCTTCTCGAACGCGCATGTGTTTACATAATTATCAAATATCACCTCGTAAAGGTTAGCCGCTGCTTGACAAAATCACGTTGTTGAGAAATTAATGCATCATTCGCACAACTGCGCATGGGCCTTGAACTTATTTATGCTAATACGTAACGATTTACACCAGAGTTGGCCTGATAACGTTTCCATACGCCGACTAATAGGCAATTACAATTGGTCGGTCGGCGATTACCAACTGGCGAAGTAGGTCAGTCTCGAATACGTTTCTTTTCTCTCTTTTTTTTTTTTTTTGAGGAAGATTTTTATCAGGGAGAACGCACATAATCCTGACAAAATCCTTTTTCACGATACGATGCTATAAATTGAACTCCTTTGCTTCAGAATTCAGACTTTCTCTTATTTTCTATGATACTACTCTTTCTTGCTCGAACACAAGGTGATTTAATAATTGAGCTATGTTTGAGCAAAGTTTGAACTGAGCTAATTGTAAGTTTGAACTGAGACTTGACTTTGTTCTAAGAAAAATTAAGGCAAAGTTGTAAGATACTACTCTTTCTCGTTCGAACACAAGGTGATTTAATAATTGAGCTATGTTTGAGCAAAGTTTGAACTGAGCTAATTGTAAGTTTGAACTGAGACTTGACTTTGTTCTAAGAAAAATTGAGGCAAAGTTGTAAGATACTACTCTTTCTCGTTCGAACACAAGGTGATTTAATAATTGAGCTATGTTTGAGCAAAGTTTGAACTGAGCTAATTGTAAGTTTGAACTGAGACTTGACTTTGTTCTAAGAAAAATTGAGGCAAAGTTAGATACTATTTTTAGATAAGATACTATCTTTTCTCCTTCGAATATAAAGTGGTTTAATAATTGAGCTATGTTTGATCTATGTTTGAACTGAGCTAATTATAAGTTTGAACTGAACTAAGATTTAACTCTGTTCTAAGAAAAATTGAGGCAAAATTGTAAGAGATACATTCCTTTTTTGCTCGAATATAAAGTGATTTAATAATTGAGCTATGTTTGAGCTAAGTTTGAACTAACCTAATGAAGATGTAACTTTGTTTGAAGAAAAATTGAGGCAAAATTGTAAGATACTACTTTTTATCTTTCGAATATAAAGTGGTTTAATAATTGAGCTATGTCTGACCTAAGTTTGAACTGAGCTAATTGCAAGTTTGAACTGAACTAAGACTTAACTCTGTTCTAAGAAAAATTAAGGCAAAATTGTAAGAGATACTATCCTTTTTTGCTCGAATATAAAGTGATTTAATAATTGAGCTATGTTTGAGCTAAGTTTGAACTGACTTAAGACGTAACTTTGTTCGAAGAAAAATTGAGGCAAAATTGTAAAGATTTCAATACGCCACTTTTCTTAGTATTATACTTTCCTTTCCAAATGAGATTATACGACAATCTCTTCTTTTTTTGGCAAGTACACCTACGTAGCTTTGTAAAAAATTGTACTATGGTATAACAGAATTTGTTAAATATTCCAAGATTCTTTTTTTTCTCTAATTTCTCTAATTTTTCTAATGAATCTAATTTTTCTTCTACTTTTAATTTTTCGTGAATTTCACTTGCAGAATCACTTCGCTCGGACCAGTAACTGGAATTACTCTCTTTAATTGCGCGCAATTAATTTATTAAACAGTTCAGCAAAAGAAAAAAAATGAGAGAGAGAGAGAGAGCAGCGCGATATTGGCTGAGTGTCGGTATTATGCGTGAGGCAGAGTGGAATTTGGCGTTACGCGTGCTTTCACAAGGCGCAGGTGCACACAACGCTTAAAAATTCTGGCTTCGTTAATGACTTTCTGCTATTTTCATAAGTTCCAAAGGTTAACATATTCTGTTTAAAGCGCGATATGCAAACACGAATCTCAAGCGAAGGTTCATTCGCTTGAACATACGTAAATACGACTTGTAATGAGTTTGTCTCGCATGATTCTACCAATCTTTCCCGATACCAACTTTTATGTAAGAAATTGTTAGAAAAATTATTGTTTTATCTCTTCAGTTGACAGCAGATCCACTGCCCCCCGGTGACCTTCTGTTTCCAATTCTGAAAGACACGTGGACCTTGACGTCAATTCCCGATGTATGTACATATTACCAGTCAGGGATGTACGTGAATTATATAGAAATCAATTATCTCGTTCATGTACCGGGGTAACTATTGTTTCCAAATTGGACACGTTCGATGAAACACGCGAACGAGCCACGTGAATATTCACGATCCATTTCCGATACTTTCCTCTCCTCAGACGTAGCCGACTGTTACGAAATCCTCGTGATATGTCGTGATTACGCTCGAAATTAGCAACACAATAGACCTGGCGTGCAGTGAGGCACACTTCTGCAAATTTAAACCCATAAAATAGCGGGGACAACATTATACAAATTTCTCAACTTTCGTACCACGTGCCATGAACCTATTTGCGAATGCTTGAACTGACAATCTAGTCGCTAAACACGTACGATACATTTTGTTTGCATCGTTTGTACGTTCCATTTTGTCATATACTCTTTATTATTTTATCATGTATTAATATTAATACTATACTTTAAAATCAGTTACCTACTCGACATACACGATACGTTCGATATTCTCATCAACAATCACAAATAGGGATCTAAGAATATAAATATTTTTCATTATACTGTATATTTTTTATTTTGTCACATTCGCTCCATTTTGCACTTTTTGTTGTATACTAATACTAATGTTGATACTTTAAAGTCAGTAGTAATACCTAGTCGACATAAGCAATACATTCAATATCCTCATCAACAATCACAAACGAAATAGAATCTAAGAATAGGATCTAGAATCTAAGAATATAAATATTCTTCATTATACTGTATATTTTTTATTTCGTCACATTCGCTCCATTTTGCACTTTTTGTTGTATACTAATACTAATGTTGATACTTTAAAGTCAGTAGTAATACTTAGTCGATATAAGCAATACATTCAATATCCTCATCAACAATCACAAACGAAATAGAATCTAAGAATAGGATCTAGAATCTAAGAATATGAATATTCTTCATTATACTGTATATTTTTTATTTCGTCACATTCGCTCCATTTTGCACTTTTTATTGTATACTAATACTAATGTTGATACTTTAAAGTCAGTAGTAATACCTAGTCGACATAAGCAATACATTCAATATCTTCATCAATCAATCACAAACGAACTAGGAATCTAAGAATGTAAATATTTTTCATTATATTTTTTATTTTGTCACATTCGCTCCATTTTGCACTTTTTATTGTATACTAATACTAACAGTAATGTTGATACTTTAAAGTCGGTAGTAATACCTAGTCGACATATACAATACATTCAATATCCTCATCAACAATCACAAACGAAATAGAATCTAAGAATAGGATCTAGAATCTAAGAATATAAATATTCTTCATTATACTGTATATTTTTTATTTTGTCATATTCGCTCCATTTTGCACATTTTATTGTATACTAATGTTAATACATTAAATCTAGTTAACATATATACAATATGTTCAGTCTCTCATATTCTCATCCACATTTCTATCAACAATCACAAACAAGAATACAAATATTTTTCATTCTATAGTATGCTTTTTATTTTACCATATTTATTCCATTTTTTACTGTACATTTTTTATTATTTTATTGTGTACTAATACTAGTACTATACTTTACTACATTACATTCTTTACTTCATGTTTCACTATTAATACTATACTATACTACAATACATTGAATCATCCATACTTCTATCAACAATCACAAACAAAATGGGAATATAAGAAAACAATTTTTTTTTATTCTATTGTATTTTTTATTTTATCATATTCATTCCATTTTATCGTCCACTTTTTATTATTTTATTTACTATTTGTTATTATATTTTAAATATTAAGTAATTTATAGTAATTTACAGTAATTTATATATATAAAAGTTATTATATTTAAGTATTAAGTATTTGTTATTATATTTAGTATTTGCCATTATATTTTAAAGTCAATTATCTACTCAATATATACGATAATTTCAATATTCTCATTCAAACTCCTATCGACACTCGCAAGCAAAGTAGGAATATAAAAACACGAATATTCTTCACTCTATCGTTCATTCTTTATTTCATTTTTGTTTTATTCTATCGTGCGTTTATTTCAATCGTTACACAACTATTTCAGTGCGCCGTTTACATTCCTTATCTGAAACGAGGAGCAGCAATCTTCTCGCACGGTTGCCAAAGGAAAATTGTTTGTAGTAGTGAGAGTAGACTCGAAACGAAACTCGTTGCCAGGATCTACAAGTGTTTCTTTTCTTTTTTTTTTTCATGAAAATTACAGATTTTGCTGGTGGCATAAAGTTCGATGAAAAAAAAAAAAAAAGAAAAAAAAGAAAGAAAAATGTCTGTGCACTTAGTGTCGCGGCGCACGAGCAATTCACTGGTATTTGACAAGGTTGGCTCGCACAACCTTGCTCGCTTCTTATTGTTAGTTATCAAGGTAGGCGGGATGTTTAGCATTTTAGGAGGTCTAAAGCAAGTCGAACTCCTCCGCCGATTCGCTGGCCGTGTTACCGCCTATTCCCTCTAATTTATTACAAATCGATACAACATCTATATCGAGCCGGAAGGGAACGATCCGAAGACCAAGCGTCAGCGTCGGCACGACGAGCGACAATTGCAATCACCGTGACGTAATTCGTAACTCGCGATGTGAGTTTCCTCGTTCGGAGAACGAGCTCGAAATTGAATTAATACTCTTGAAAGGGGATACGGAGTTTTTGCACGAGGATTTGATTCTCTAATGGATAGGGGAGTTGTATGACCGTACAAGCTTTCGTGACTGTGTGGTGAAACGAAACACGACTTTTCGTGTATTACTTCCTTCGAAACTTCGCGATTCTTTTTCTTTTCTTTTCTTTCTTTCTTTCCTTTTTTCCTTTTCTTTGTTCTACGTTTGTCGTATCACACGGCCTCATCAAATTCGAATTATTAATCACACAAGTCAGCGCTAGTCAGCTTTCTAGCACAAGTTTCCTTTGTCCAAGGAGACGCTGTGCCTTGTGACGTTCGTAATTATAACATCGAAGCGAATCTGTTGTCAAAGTTTCTATCTAAACCTACTCGTAAAAAACAGATACTCGATTGCAACAAGATTCCTGGTAAATTAAACACAGTTGTGACATTAAAAAAAATCGACGTCTTTCACATCTGTGTGAAAAAACAAAATATGCTTTGGACGTTGTTCCATGATAGTTTTTCATTTCTACGTAATGCCTTTTACGTTTTATTCAATTGCATGATTTTGTTTCCACGTGATTGCAGTCTGTCGTTGCACAGTCAGTGAATTTTAAAAGCCGCGAATAGATGTGCGCAGCGGAATATCTGAATTATTGAAACAATCACGTCGATTCGGCGTGGCTGAACAGTTTGTCGCCGGGCGTGAGTGCGAGACTAAAATATATCGTGACAAAGTCCAAGTTGCCGATGCTTTTGTTCTAGCACGGAACCGTTCTATTTCTCCTAACCGCAGCTGCTACCCACGATCGAAACTTAAGGGAGGAAAGGCACACTCCGATTCTTGCACGACGCTGACGGCGAGGCCAGCTACGTTTCGTTGTTGGATGCCTTCCTGGCCACTGGGTGGTGGTAGCACACTCAGGGTGGGGGATCCTTCAAAGGCTTAAAAGGCCTTCCAACGTCCTTGTAACACGCAGTTCTTGAATAGAACGTAATAGCATTCTATTCCGAAATAAAAATCAACTTGAGAGCAACTGGCCGACCGAATACACCCCTTCCGGCCTCTTAAGGAAATTTAATCGTCGTTACCTGTGGCGTGACGTTTCAGATATACACATTATATTATCGGTGCACGTCGAAGCAAAAAGCTTAAAATTCTGCGAAAGACACTTTGGTGGGAAAAGAAAGAAAAAAAAAAAATAAATAAATAAATAAATAAAGGGGAAAAGCAAGAGTGATCTCCGTTCTTCTTTCCCTTTCACCGTCGTAGCCCTAAATTGGAAATTCAGTGACCAGTGTTGGACGGTTGTTTCAAGCCACATATATACTTCGTCGGAGCTGCAACAAGTAAATCGAGGGGGACGAGATGAAGAAGACGAGGAATCTTCAGTTGTTCGCGACGTTCCTTCTGTTGGTGTTTTTCGTGTCACCGTCGTCCACCTGGGCTCTCACCACTTTCGGCAAGACCAACCCCCAAAATCAAAACTCTCCGCCGCCACCCACGCCAGGTGCGTTAGTCGAGAGAGAGAGAGAGAGAGAGAGACAATTACAAAACTCGCGACGACAGCTTCACATTTTCTTTTTTCTTTTTTTTTTGTTGTAGCTAACGTGTTTAGTTAATTTTTAACGAAAGAAGAAAGTCGTCAGTTTGTTTGAAACTTTCTTTTTGCTCGCGCGCGTAAGGATTTCGTTTGTTGTTCAATTTCAGTGGGGAAGGCCCGGGAATGTAAGTTGGAGTCGGACTGCGCCGGGATTCAAAATACAACGTGCATGGCGGATCCTCGGGACGGAAGGACGCGTTGTCTCTGCGGGGACTTCTCTCCGCCGCTGAATGGCGCGTGTACCAATAAATTCAAAGGTAATCAGTTCCTCCGAAACATTTTCAGTCCACTTCATTTGAGGCCATCTAGTAGCTGCGCCCTTTGCAATCGTTGTCCTTCAATTTGCACGTGTTAAATTCGAGAAACTTAATAACCGTGTGTCAAACATTGTACTCGTACAGTGATATTATATTCGTTAGCATAGAGTTCAATTTTGGAATGAAAGAGATTTAATTTCTTCGCGTGTATAATAAATAAATGTATATAATAAATAATAATAAACAAACATATAGATACATATGATAAATATATAATAAATGAAATAATGAAATTAATTCAAAAATTCCTTCTAAACATTTCTCTTCTTTATTTGAGATCAATAGTTACGCCTCAGTTTGTACTTATTCGAGAATTTAACATCGTGTATCAAGCATATCATGTTCATACAATGATTGTTGTAATTTTGAAGTAAAAGAGATGAAATTTCTTCGTATAGAAGTTACCACTGTCATTTGCATATACTCACGTGCCCTCTCGCAATACAGGAACACACGATGGTGTGCGGTAGCAGAACTGTGGTTATCTATGCAAATTTAGAAACTTTAAGAATATCATTGCGGCCTGTTGTATACGCCAACGCCAATTTACCAGCTTTTTACCACAACACACACTTGCTATTTGACGATATAAACACTGAAAGCCGATGTGTCGTTTAATTCGTAGATTGACTGCCATTAACGACACATTATACATTTTCCATCGTCACGGTGAAATAGTTGGACCAAAAATAACCTACGTTTATTTTTAGATTTCTGTCGATAGCCATTGATAGATTTGTAATTTAGTAAATGACAACCAAGGTAAAGTTGAGAATTTTGGAAATTTGGTTATTTAGATTGATCAGCAATTGTAGGACACGTCGTGAATAATTCGTTTGCTGTAAAGAACTGTGGAATCCTCGATGATTCCAGGTCAAATAGTAATAGCTTCTACAAAGGTTGAAAATTGATCGATTGTTGAAAGTCATGTCGAGGGTACATTCTCGCGTGAAATTGAGCGTTAACGTGAAGTTAAAACGCACCGAGTTTTTTTTATGGCCAATTAGGAACATTTGGCACCATTTAGTCTAAGAACAGATGTAAAATGATAGTTGGCACGTGTAAAAGATTTTATGTCCTGCAAAGAAACGACGAGAATCCAGTATCTGATAAGAAAATCCAATATAAGAAATAAGGAACAACTAAAGAACTCAATTAGAGCACAGTGGAATTCGATTGGTCCAGAAGTAACAAAAAAAAAAAAAAAAAAAAACTAGTTGGAGGAATGGAAAATAAATTATTGGAGGCCATACTGGTTATTAAATTAAATTATCAAGTTAATTGTCAGTCAAAATTGTCTACTGAAACATTTTTGAGTTGGCTAATTCTGCATAATTGTTGCGTTATTCATGTTCAATATTATTAAGGAGAGCCAACATTTTGATATTTTTATCCGAAACTATTTCTACGGGCCTTTATAAGTCATACTCCGAAGATGTTTAAAAATAGTAATCTTTAGTGCGCTAATAAATGAATTAAGGAATTCTAATCGAGCGTATGGAAACGTTTTCGATCGGCCGAACTAAAATAAAAATTTTCATCGTGTCGAGAGAGAAGTGGGAAGAGTTTGGTCGTCGCCATTCTCGAAAATGTGTTCACTGTTGTCTAATTAAACGAACATAAGAATTTCCATTCACCCTCACCTGATAATGCAAATGATCAATGATATATGTTTCTATTGTAGCGTTACATGCCCCATGTAACGAAGATACTGAATGCGTCGATGGTGCACATTGCGTACAACGGAACAATACTCTGCCCGGGAAACGTTGCTATTGCAAAGAAGGATATTACGAAGAGAAACTTTTACTTTGCAGTGGTACGTCATCGTCATAGTTTCCTTCGCCTGTTAACCGAGTCACCATTTCTCAAGCAGAAACAAAGTTGAGAATTGATAAAGGCAAATGAATTTAACTCGGAAAATACGATTACTTTGTTCTTGAAATTCTCTTTCCCTCTGTTTGCAAAACGGAGTATTTCTGTTTATTTCTGTTTCGGTGTATTCTGTTTTAAGCAATAATAGTTCACGTTCTATAGAAAATACTGATATCACCGATTAACAGGTGAAGATTTTAATTATTATGAGAACAATAGTTTTACTTTTATAGATTTACACGTGTGTAAGAGATTTCTAATTACACCTTTATCTTTTTCTGTTGTCTTCTTGCAGGTAGTTCATCCGTCTTCACATTTCATACGACACTTCTGTTAATTACATTGAGTGTACTGAAACGGAGCTTCTGTTAATTGCCTTGATCGTGGGACGAACTTTGTGAATTTTTTATAATTTTGAAATACTTTGTGACTTATTGTGTAAAAGGTATAACAAGATCCTTGAAATTAATTTTAAATCTGCAATTGTAATCTCTTATTAGGAAACTAGGAATCAATTAGAATTATTGATATTGTATAAAATATCAGTTTTAATTCTTTATTACTTTATATCGTGTAACCACTTGTATTTTATGTTTCAATTGTAACTTCGTTTTCTAATTGATAGTCGATGCAATTTAACAACGTATATTAGTATATTAGTAATTAAAATGTCTCAATATCATACCATACTTTATCTACGAGAAAATTTTCTATTACTATTGATTCCTATCTTTTAAATATTTATACATATAATTAATACTTAGGACTTTGCAAGAAAAAGAAATATATATATTAGCGTAGACAATTCACGAGACATATTACAATTCACAACTATAAGTAAAATTCATAGTTTACATTTTCGTCAGTGACAAATCATAGTTTACGTTTTAAGTCAATTTATTGCCTTGAGTTAAGTTAGACAAGTCGTAGTAGCTAAGTGCACCTATACCTATTCAATCAAATTCTTAAATTTGATTTTCTCAGAAATAATAAGTAATCCAAGTGAAAAGCTTTGTTTCCTTCTCGGTCCATTTTTGCGGAACAATATTCTATTAAAGTAGCACTTTCTTCGTTGTTGAATAACTGTTTCCTTGGAATTCGAATTTCTTAAACGTTTAGTCATCAAAATTGAATGTGCCTAATGACATTTTATATAATGTAATAACGTCATTACACGTACGTATATTACAAAATAAACGTAATCTAAGATACTATTACTATCACACAATCTTACGAGATAGAATAAAATACTATTGTAAATCGTTCGATTTAACAACTATAAGTAGAAAATGCCTTTTCATTCACTAGTTGTAGCTACGATTACAACATTATGTACATAGCAAATTTTAATTCGTTGACAGACGTACATATAATACAAAGTTTCAACATGCCAATATTATCTGAAGTACCAGCGACTGTATGAAAACAAACTGTGTAATAACTGTACAATTAAACAACGTGTGCTAATAATTTACGCCAGTACGCGAATTTGTTGGAACACAAATGAACAGCAATATTTATTTCAATTACGATGCATAGCATTTTATAACGTTTGTAAATCGATAATACTGTAACAATGAACTGTATTTATTCAGCTCCACTACGCAAACACATTAGCATCACGAATATGTCACGCACTAATAAATTTTCTCTGTATTCTAAAATATCTCAGTATTTCCTGACAACGTATCAATTATAAATTACACGAGTCAATTGTGAAAGGTGAATAAACAGAAAACTTCATATAAACATTTTGTCAATCAATTCTTTTATTATTTCTTCTGAAGAACTAGTTGCGTTACGGTGTTTCCAGTTTGTCCACCGAACATGAATGTTTCGTCAGCAGGCAGAACGTGTAAAATGTCAAAATCTGAAATATCATAAATTACATTAATGTTATTGATCATAGAGATTACCTGAAGAGCAATTAATATCCTTTACTCTGCGTTAATTAGTTTAAATTACACAAAAAGAAATAAGAAGTATCGGTTATACGTATACATTTTTAATTAACAGTGCAACATTGTGTAAATAATTTCTGATTACCAAACGTTAAAGAAAGTGATTTTGTACATAAAAAAGGAACAACAAAATGCAATTTATTATTATTAATTTGACTCAATAGTACAACTTACAATTTTGAAAATGTTTCTCTATTTCTTCCTTAGTCCAGTTACATGAAGTTAAAACTAAGTAGCCAGAAGGCAACAGAATCCTGTAAACATTTTCTATATACTTTTGCCGTTTCGACGCAGGATTTTCTGGATTCAAGCTGATGGCGTCGTAAGTTCCTTTGTCGTGCGCCAATTTAAAGTTGGCGGGCAAATTGAAATTTTTGGAATCGAGTACGTCGTAGACTTTCAGCTCGACGTGCGGCATGTTATTCTCTGTTAATATTTCGCGAGCTAAATCAACTGCTTTCTCTGAATAATCTATACCCAGCAACTCTTCAAAACCTTGTTTCACAAGTTCAACCAATGTCATCCCGTTCCCGCATCCTATATCGATTATTTTATCATTTTTGTTAAGTTTCAGCTGCGTATGGATCCAACTGAATCATTAGACAGAATATTTAAAAATACAATGCATACAATACAATACATACAATAAAAGATACATTCAATATTCAATAATATTTCTGTGTTAAATAATGGTCGAATTGAACGAATTTAAAAAATATTACCATCTAACGGTAAAACAGATTTCAATAGCCAAATTTTTTAATAGACAAAGTTTACGAAAGATAGCACCGCTAGTCTCAGAACTGAAATACCATACTGTTTACGGCACAGCTGTTTGTCTTGCACATACGTACATGAACTTCTCTTGTCTTTTTTAAATAAGTTAAACTTACCGTACAACTTTCAGTGTATTACTTTTGCCAAACCATATTTCACCTACGTCTCCGTACTCCTTAAAGTTGTCAAGATCATCCGAATAAATCCTTTCCCAACTGTAACATAATCGTGACATAAAGTAATGCTTATCGAGTGTTTCACACTTACGAATACGGTACGTATTCAATACTTACTAATCAAGTGTACCTAAATCCGATGGTGCGAGTTCTTCGATGTTTTCATCTGTCATTTTATTTCGTTTGTATGAATATCACGATTGAATCGTTGTTTTAAATGTTAAATGTATTGACACCGGCTACTGGACGTATATTTTCATAAAATAAATAATTTATAAGAAAAACGTGTTTCTAAAATTTCACTTGCCGTGAAACGCGTAATTACGTTATGCGGAACTTTATTGAGCTGACATAACCTCACTTCTAAACCTAACCTACACTGCGTAAAATGCGCACATATACTGCATAAGCGTGATTGTGCAGGAATCGCAATCTGCGACTGCTTGATAGAGACGTTATTTTTTCAACAGTGTCAATTTGTTAAAAATGGCTAGTAAATTATTAGACATGCTTCAGATTGGTAAGTAAAATATATTTTTTTGTATATTTCATACTTTTATATATACATGTATACATATTTTGTACATACACACATATATTTTGATTTATTGTATAGTTAACGTAATTTACACATATGCAACATCAGATAGTAAAACTGTACAATTTACATGTTGTAGCAAAATAAAAACATGAAAATTTTATTGGTACTGTTGATCTTTAACTGTTAATCTTTGGTTTAATATTTGCTCTTCTCAAATTGCTATTCAGGAAAACAGCGTGTGAAATCTTCCATTTTACCTTGGCGTCAGCTTTCTACGACAAATTTGAAATACAGTAATGTTAAACCAAAAACTGGTATTTTAATGCTAAACATGGGCGGCCCTAGTGCACTTGAAGAGGTGCATGAGTATCTATTACGCATAATGACTGATCGTGATATGATTCAACTGCCATTCCAAAGGTTTAGTTTGATGAATTGTTATAATTAAATCAGCATTAAATTGAGATTCCACATAACAATGCATATTACAGTCGATTAGGTCCGTGGATAGCAAAATCTCGTACTCCTAAAGTACAGAAAAAGTATTCAGAGATTGGTGGGAAATCTCCAATCTTAGAATGGACAAACAAGCAGGGCAAACTTCTATGTGAGAAATTGGATAGTATTTCACCAGAAACTGCACCTCACAAACATTATGTTGCATTTCGTTATGCTAATCCCCTTACTGAAAATACACTACAAAAGATAGAAGAGTAAGAATACTGATTTGTCATTGAATGAAAATAGATATTAAATAGAATTAATAAACTTTAACAAATAATCTTCTTTTAAACACTACACACACATTTTTATTTTAGAGATGGCATTGAACACATGGTTCTCTTTTCTCAATATCCACAATATTGTTGTGCTACAAGTGGATCAAGTTTTATTGAAATATATAAATATTATACGACCAGGTAGTAGTACTTATGAATCTTTTTTACGTATTCAGTGGATGAATTAACATTTATTTGTGAATTATATTAACAATAAGTAAACTCTAATTATTTAAAACTTATAGGAGTTTAGAGCAGAACTGTTTACAAATGACTCATGTAACTTTGTCATTAGCATTTTATTAAATTAAGCAGCTCATTTTCATTTTTTTATGAGTGCCATATACATACACATACATTGTACATTTTCATATTCCACTTAACTGGTTGAAGTCGTGTGAAGATTTTTAAAAATATTTTCTTCAGCTAGTATAAAAAAGGTATAATTAAACTCCTTGATTTTTCCCGACAAATAGCTAATTATGTTTTTAATTCCTCGTATTTACTGCACGAAACTTTCTTTGAAAGTTGAGAAAACTTGGCGCATTTGTAAGTAAAGGTATGCAATCAAGCATGCAATAAATTCTTTTCACGCCAAGATATTTTCAAACGTACAAAAATTCTGGTAAGAAATATTTAAAAGTAAAGAAGAGTGATTTTTTGCTCGTTAATTAAACTTATAATTAGGCAAAATTGCTAATATGATGGTAAATATTATTCATCTTTTCCATCTCTTTCGTAATATATAAATGATTATATATTCTATAACGTGCACTTGCGATATGGATAAATATCTTTGTTAGTGTTATTTAAGAAATAAGAACAGAGAAGAATAAAAAAATTCGTGTATCGGATAGTACTCGGAAATTTGTAATTTGCAGAAAATTACCTTCCAACATGAAATGGAGCGTAATTGATAGATGGGCAACGCATCCATTATTCATAGAAACAATTACAGAAAGAATCAAAGGAGAATTAGCTCAGTTCCCTAAGGATATAAGGGGCGATGTCATAATTTTATTTTCGGCTCACTCGATACCATTGAAGGTTTCTTTTAAAAACAAATTGAATTGCTTTAATATGACGTGTTATTGCAGTCGTTTAAACGTTGCGTTTTGCATTGTATTTTTAGGCCGTATCTAGGGGTGATGCTTATGCGTCCGAGGTAGCAGGCACAGTTGCCCTAGTAATGGAAAAGTTACAATATTGTAATCCGTATAAATTGGTATGGCAGTCAAAGGTATAGGCAATGCTTTTGTTTTAATTATCAATTTCTTAATATTTAATATTCACTGAAATGTATGTATTCTCGGTTTCCTTGATAGAACAAAGATCGTTTTTGAAATAAAATTGAGGGAATACGTTTCTTTCATTTATATATTTTTCCCCCCTTATCTGATTCGTTCGACTGATTTTTCGACATTGATATTCGTATTTAGGTTGGTCCTGTAAGTTGGCTGGAGCCTTTTACCGACGATGCGATAAAAGCTTACGTAAAGCAAGGGAAAAAGCATTTTATATTAGTACCGATAGCATTTGTTAACGAACACATTGAAACTCTTCATGAATTGGATATTGAATATTGCAAAGAATTAGCGGAAGAAGTAAGTGTTTTGTTCTGTATCTTTGGCCTTTTACTTTGCTTTTATCGGCTACAAAAAGAAAATTTTTTATTTCCTCCTTTTTTTATCTTCAGCTGGGCGTTGAAAAAATACGGAGAACTGCAGCACCCAATGATCATCCTACGTTCATAGCAGCTCTGACAGATATCGTTGTTTCTCATCTTAAATCGAACAAGCCAATAAGTCCCATGTTTTTAACGCGTTGCCCTCACTGCGTTAGCAAAAATTGCGCAGAGAGCAAGAATTGGTATGCACAAGTATGTAAAAATTGAAAAAAAAGAGGCAGCTACTCTGTAAAATATCCACGCGTTTGTCGTACCTGTTACTTGTAATATATGTGTGCAAATGTCAGTATTTGTTTTTATAATTCTTTACAACCTTTCTGTTGGTTAACGACTATCCTATATAGTGAAATATTTACTGTATAAAACACACTATATAGTAAATATACTATATAAAATACACGATATCTTTGTAATACGATACGAAGTTAAATAAAATATTGACATCTCTGACAGACGTTGACTTCTTTCTTTCTCCTGAATTTTACCAGATACGCAGTATCACTATTCTTACTGAATTTTTGAAAAACATGTTTCACGCGCAAAAACGGATTATGTACAGTTTTAGAGGCAGGATGAAAAGACGATTTATGAACAAAAACAATTTGCTTACAGAAATACATGCAAATTCAATTACTCTGCAAAATTTAAAAATTCAAAAATTTAAAGGGGATAAAGTTCTTTCGACGACGAGAACAATGGTATTCGAGAAAAGAGGTGTCTTTACGTAGAGAAAAAAACGAAACAGTCGATTGATTGGCTGTTAAAAGGGTGAACTTAGCGTAGGTGGTCTCGCAGCATTTATCGAGAGTAACCGTTCGATTTCTTTGCAGGTTACTCCCGAGGGAGTTATCGCGGCGACAGCAGAGAGCGTCTGCCGCGCTCGAGGTATCGAACGTGAGTGGCGTGGCGCTGGCTGCCGCGACGCTTATATAAATGCGCGGCGTCGGCAGGCGCGCTCAGTATGTGTCATGCTTCTCGAGTGCGAGCGTCGTCCGTGATGGCGGCCCGAGTGCGGTTGAAGATGCAATGCGGCACCGTCGTGTTGCTCTTCGTTGTCATCGTTGTGGTGTGTGCTATGGATCTTGTGCGTGGAATGTTCGTGCATCGTCACTGCAGTCACCAGCATCCCCGGGCGCACGAGGTAAGCGTTGCAAAAAGAAAAAAAAAAAAAAAGAAAAGAACTATGTACATATATATATATACTCTCAACTCTCCCGTCTCCTCTTTCTCTGTCACTCGTTTTTTTCACTCTCGTTTCACCTTCGTTGTTTGTCTGCCTGTTCGCTCGGCAGACGCTCGCCGGCCAACTGGGCTGCTGGTTGCTCCTTCTGTCAGTTGCCACTTCGATACTTGTCTCTCCTGCTTTTTTACTTTCTTCCCCTTCGTCGCCGATTCTCCCTCTTTGTCGCGTCAAACCAGTCCTTCGCTCCTCCGGGGATGAAGTCGCGTGATTTCGAGCAAGCGTGCGTTTCACGTGTCACGTGCTCCCACTGTCTTTCTTGCACACCTGTATCTCGCGTGCGTCCCACTTCGACCAACTCCGAGCCGACGAACTCTCCGGTCTCTTCTCCGTTCCTTACCATCGGACACGATTATCCTCTTTTCAAACGTGTCACGTTGTTTCACACGACGCCATTTTGACACTTTCGAATCTAATGGCGCGTTAACGCCACGTGACTCGTAATAGGATTCGAAACGTCTGTTACACAAGATGGAGTTCTAACTATCGTTCGATCGAATCGAACTTCGATAGTCGAAATCTGTGTATCGTACACGTCAGTTCGATGGTTTTCGCGTGTCAGGTTATGTCGTTTGTTTGACCGTTCGTTAATGTTTGTCGCGGGTGCGAGTGTATCGCCGGCGAACTGTGAAATACATATGTACATATTGCTACACGTAACGCGTCTACCGTGGAATGTGACTTTGATCGCGCGGAGAAAGGTATCCGTGAACTTGTTTTCATGCGCCGGTGAACCACGTGTTTTGGGAACGAGCGCGCGCCTCGCTATGCCTTCAACAGTGCGACTTTTTTGCTTCGTTTCTATCGTAAGTGAGAACTACATCCAGTCAATTTTTTATTGATTTTCATAAAAGTATTTTTCCTACCTATGATGAACGAACTTTGTTTTTAAACGAATAAACATTGGATTTTATCTTAACATATCATGCTATATTGCGCTGTTTCGATGTTTCCTTTGATACATTATAATTCCAACCTAACCTAAGTGCAAACTGCACGATTGCACGCACTGTTGGTATAATAATTTCTAACAAAGTCACGTTATCATACAGTTATCGAGTAACGTTATAAAGTAATCTTATCATACGTGGAAAGTATAGTTCGTTAGTAAGTAACGTTGATCTGATAATCATAATAATTTCTAATAAATTTGTTTTATATAACATGTAACAGTTTAATGTTCAGAGTAGTAAAGTACAAAAATTATTTAAAATTTGTTTCTGTTGAAGAAATATCGCACATTAGCTCTGTATTAAAAATCTCCAGTAATAAATATAACAATTAAGATTAAAATCCAGTAATATAAATTAAATATAAATATAAATATAAAAATTATTTGGGAAATTTATTCCTGTTGGAGAAATATCGCACATTAGCTCTGTATTAAAAATCTCCAGTAATAAATATAACAATTAAGATTAAAATCCAGTAATATAAATTAAATATAAATATAAATATAAAAATTATTTGGGAAATTTATTCCTGTTGGAGAAATATGGCACATTAACTGTGTATTAAAAATCTCCAGTAATAAATATAAAAATTAAGATTGAAATCCAGTAATATAAATTAAATATAAATATAAAAATTATTTGGGAAATTTATTTCTGTTGGAGAGATATGGCACATTAACTGTGTATTAAAAATCTCCAGTAATAAATATAAAAATTAAGATTGAAATCCAGTAATATAAATTAAATATAAATATAAAAATTATTTGGGAAATTTATTTCTGTTGGAGAGATATGGCACATTAACTGTGTATTAAAAATCTCCAGTAATAAATATAAAAATTAAGATTGAAATCCAGTAATATAAATTAAATATAAATATAAATATAAAAATTATTTGAAATTTGCTTCTGCTGGAGAAATATTGCACATTGATTCTCTCTCTCTCTCTCTCTGTGTAAAAAACTCCTCATACTGCACTGACTAAAGTTTCAGGTTCTTATCTCCCCATATTTCTGCATAATTTGCTTGTTCTGGCGCCCGAAACGTGTTAATTTCACTCCTGATTGATTTTACGAGCTCGCCACACTCCGGCGAGCTGTACACGTTTAGATTCAATCGATCAAGCGTAAGCTTTCTCGTTTCGAATGTTACAAGCTCGAAAAATCGTTCCGAGTCGATCGTTAGATCCGACTCGAAACTCCGAAAATTTTGTTCCTTGCGATCGATTCGCATTTTTTTTTTTTTTACCAACTTTTACAAGAGTTCAGAGTGCATTCAATTTCGGACATGGCATATTTTTCGGACATGGTGAACACTCTTTTGCGCGTTGGGTGGACGATACCTGGATAGATATGTGCGGCTTCGTGCAAATTTTTTCTTTTTTTTTTCCACGAGCTCCCTGAATTTTCCGCCTGGTCTGGTTTTCGATCGCGCTGTTTTAATTAACGCTCGAAACGCCTAGCGTCCGTGATATCTATGAATATCGAGAACGATGGATCTAACGGTTTTAATCTATTAAGCGAATTAATCCGCGGGAGGAAAATTTGATAATTTGTTGATCGATCGACGAGAAGCGCAACACATGCAGGGTGTCTCGTTTAAAACGCCATTGTCTCCTAGACCAGTGGTTCCCAACTTGTGATAATTCATATTGTACTATTTTTATCATACGAATATAATACTTGCCCTGAGATTTCTGTGCGAGAATATATATGATAAATCGACAAATTCGTCATGTATTTAAAAAAAAAAAAAAAAAAAACGAAGACCTTAAAGTCTCGAAGAAACGTTTGGAATTCATCAAAATTTGTAACCACCGTAAGACGTGGTCCTCTTTGAAACATTTTCTTTTTTTTTTTCTTCTATAATTTAGATGATTGCGTGATACGTTTCAAACGAAACACCCTGCGTGCATATTTGACATTTTACAATCATTTCGTTTATTCCAATAAAACTCGACTTTGCATTTGTAATTCGTGTGTGTACGTAAATTGAAGGAAACTTCGCGACTATTTCAGATTCTGTCGACGTGAGAAAAATCCAGGCGAGTGTAGCAAACAATAAGCAGAGAGAACATTATGAGGTTAATTATGAGAAGGGAAAGATGTTGCAATGTCACTCGACGTAGCCAACTTTTACTTTTTTTTTCGAAGAAGATAGACGCGACGTGAAGTCTTGTTACTCGAGCCGTGTTGTTATTTACCTTTGCTCATTTCAATTTGTCGCCCATATTTTCAACTCGGCGAGATTTGATTGTGAAATTAATTCGCGAGTCAATCCCGTTAAATTATCCAGGTGTTTTAATTATTTAATTAAACGAAGAGATAAAATCATTTGATCGAGAGTCACATTATAATTTACGATTGAACGAACGCGTTGGCATTATGTAAATTCTGATGTGAAATAACGATATTTAATAATTTCACAGTGTGTTTATCACTGTGCGCAGTTCAACGCTGTAATAACTCGAAGACACTGCCAGTCGCGTTTTTCAATTGTTTGAGAACGTTATTGGGAGATCAATTGTAAAATTTCGGGAAATCGAGTGACATTGAAATTAAAGGATCAACAGGAAATATATTACGCAATATTGATTTATTGTAGGATCATTTACTTATTTTTATCTCGCTGCAAATACCTGAAACGATTTTAAGTTGACGAGACATTTGCTTTCGAAGTTAATCATATTATTGAGTGTCGAATTTTATCAACTTGTTGTTTGCTCTATTTCTAAGCTTAAAAGTTGTTCAACTTGCTTGAACGTAACAGTTTTATTTATTACAGTTATTTCCTTGTTCCGTTTGATCAAGGGACAATGTTATTTCGTTCGAGTTTCTCACGATTGGCTTTGTGATAAGTAATAAAAATCCCATTCAGATAAAACGAATATTAAAGTAAAAAACTGTCAAGCCATAGATTGAACTATGATATACACTTGTTGTGTAATTTGTGAGGGAGATCGTTTGTTAACAGTGATTACGTATTCAAATGATACGTTTCAGCTGTTCGTTTCAATTTTCTGCGACAAAGTACGCAGAGAGAAAGATCGAGCGTTAATTAATTTATTGCACGCGAAAAGTTATGTGAAATTCG